GAAGTTGCTTGGAGCTTAATTTCATAGAATCATAGAGTTGGAAGAGACCTTATGAGCCATCCAGTCAACCCCTGCCAAGACGAAGGAAAATTGCATTTAAAGCACCTCCAACAGATGGCCATCCAGCTTCTGTTTAAAAACCTTCATTTTGGATCACAATAACATATCAATTTGGAATGGTTAGGAAAGGCTCATAGCTCAATACTGGAAGCTTTTCTTAAAAAACTATATATACAAGTCGGAGCACAAGTACATATGCACCCAGGCTTAATGAGCTGCATAGAAATATTTCAGCTCAGTGCCTTGGAAGTTGCAATTAAGTTACAGTAATTTAAGATCATCACAAGAGCAAAGGGCAGTAGCAGCCACTTCTGAAGACTGCTCTCACCACTTAATGCCACTCAATCTTGGGGTTAAAGGAGGTTCTTTTAGTATAAGTACCTTAAAGCAACAGAATCGTAAACAAAATTTATACTATTATACTGTCAGTCTATAATCTATTTAGATTTTATTACAGCATCTCCGAGAACATTTCAAAGACAGGAACGCTATTGTGTCCTATAAATAACTGGACAGACTTTGTGAAATTATATTATACACAAAGTACCTGTACATACAAAGCACATTAGCTGAAATCCTCTACAGAGCTATTGCATGTTCTGGTTTGCATATGAATTAAAGGGAGAAGCGTGGAAGCTGATATATTTATACAAAAGGATATTCAGAGGGTGCAATTCATCTCCCACTGCAGTCAGTGGAAATGCCCACTGATAATGGGATTATACTCAATAACCTCCAGTTCAGGAAAAGAGACAAACCACAAGAATACCAGTATCTTAATACTTTCAGTTGGGAAAAGTTCCCTATCCTCTGTTATTCTTTCAAAAAGGAGACAAAACAATGTGAGGCTTTTCCATTATTGTATGGTAACTAATATCATATTACTACATTAAACAGACTCTGTTAAAATGGAAGTTTCACACCTAACGGATGTGCTAGATTTTCCTTGCAAGGGTCTGGTGTAATTTAAATCCTAGGAAATAGTGGGTTTAATTTTCCTACTAGTACAAAACTGAAATACTGTTACAGTTGTCAGTAAATAATAACTGGGAAGGTGAAACAATTTTTTAAAAAAATCTTAAGAGACTAGATTTTTTAAAGATTACCTATTGCCATCAATTGCTTAACGGGGTTCACGTGTATGTTTAATATACATAGACGTTATTAGACTACTCTCACCACTTAATGCCACTCAGTCTTGGGGTTAAAGGAGCTTCTTTTAGTATAAGTACCTTAAAGCAACAGAATCGTAAAAAAATATACTATTATACTGTCAGCACATGAACATGTATATTAAACATACACATGATCATAAAGCTACCAATAGATAATAAAGTCACCAATTATATCTTTTCTAAAAAATAATAAAAGGCAGTGGGGGTGTTTTTTTTTGGACAGTTATGAAACTTATGCTTTCAAAGAGGTAGGTATGTTTTTTTTCATTTGAAATGCTAATTGTATATCTATCTAGGAAAATAGTTATTTCACATTTTCTGTTTTATATAATTTCAGGAGTGTTCTTGCTTTATAATGTCTGAAACAGAATTAGATAAAGTCTCAGTTTAAAAGAAATGGTGTTAAGAAGTACTTCCTAACTACAGAAATATTGCAATATTCAACATAAACAGCAGAAGCAAGGATGCACCGCAATCCTATACATCCCTATGGAAAAGCAACTCCTACTTAGTGCCACTGTAGTTTAAGGTTACACAATTGAATAGCTTTATAAGGGAATAAGCTCCAATGAACAAAGAAATTTTACTTCTAAGTAAACCTGAAGGAGGCAATGTTTGGAATCCACCCTCTAGGGAGATAGGGCGGAATATAAATAAAGTATTATTATTATTATTATTATTATTAGTCTGTATCATGCTACTTCTTCCTTCAAACTGTATGTTATCATGACAGTTATGTAAGAAATGCTTTAAGTTATGTGTGAAATAAAATATTCAAAACTTAAATCAATCACAATATTATCATAGTGATTAGTATGCTCTATATTTTACGGGAAAATATAACACTTTGATATTCTAAAACTCCCTAAAAAGAATAACATAAAACTACACCACAAAGACACTATTTCAGTCCATAGTAGAACCATATCTCCAGAAGCCCCCTAAATGTCTTTGTTCACTGTGAGACTCTCTAACAGAAAAGGTTGAACTTTATTATCTTTTCTTCTCCCTTTCTCAAATGCTTGGGAAATCAAAAGCTCTCTCTCTGAGCTTCAAGGTGCGATAAATAAAAAGGAAGTTGTACATCAATGCAGCAAGAATACACAACTCAGTCAAATCAGGGGATGCCTTCTCTTAAATTAACTAGGCTAAAAATATGGACTCAAACAGCACAGGCAGCCTTTTCCTCCACGTTATCCCTAGGTTTCACAACAAAGATTAGTATTTGTAATGGTCCATTTCTGCATAAGTGAACATAGAAGTCTTGCTGCCTGATCGAATAGTCCAGATCTTTCAGTGAAGCAGCTCCTAACAACAGCCCAGCAGCAGCTCCGTTTGATCTCTACTGCCTTCCTTAATCTGGGTTGTCAAGGTTCACTTGTTGGAGGCTGTTTACTTTACTTTAAAAAAAAAACCCCGACACCCCCTTTCCATCATACAATGACTAATCCAAAGAGTGAAGGGAAAGAATGCTGCCAATGCAAGATGTTAAAGCTGAAATACCTTTTTTTTTTTTTGCCGTCAGATTCTAGCTGACACATTCTGAACAGAAGTTAGTGGAAACTTGTGTGTATAACCCTGCTTTTATTGTGCATAACTCAAATGGAATTCTAAATTAAGTAGTCCAATTTCTGAACTGTTTTCTTCTTTTGAAGATGTGCAATGCTTCCTCAAAATCATTCCCCTTCTAATTTTCCTTATGGGAACTTGGGAGAGACTTTTCCTTCTAGGAACTTGGGAAAGATCCCCCCCCCCCCTGCTCACAAAAGTCACCAAGTATTTTAAAATGTTTCCTTTTTCCCTGTATTCTCTATCTTATAATTAAAGCAATGGCAAATTGCACAACAAGTGTACTATAGTTGCCTGCAACAGTACAAAAAATGCCAATAAAGTCAGAGAAAGAAAATGTTATATTATTGTTACAGACATAACCTGTAAATAAATTGAATGAATGTTGCTTGTTTGTTTGTAATGTTTGCCCAGGACACAAGGACTGAGAATAATGTATCAGGCATGCCTATGCTATGCAAATATTGCTCCCCTCACCAAAGAAGAAACTCTAAAACACCCAAAGAGCAAAAAAAAAATCATATTGTTATTATTATAGACAAAATCTGTAAATAAAATGAATGCTTGCTTGTTTGTAATGTCCCTCAGGACACGAGGACTGAGTATAATGTATCAGGCATGCCTATGCTAGGCAAATATTTCTCCCCTCACCAAAAAAGAAACTCTAAAACACCCAACGAGCAAGCCAGGCTCTCATTCTGCAAGGATGTGGCATTCAGAACCAACTGTAAACAGCTGGATGTTGGACTTGTGGCTCCAGAGAGCTGGAAATTGCCCACACCCACCCAATTCTTGCAGAAATAATAATAATAATAATAATAATAATAATAATAATAATAATAATGCATCATCATCATCATCATTATTATTATTATTATTATTATTATATACTAATAATAATAATGTAATAATAAATAATAATACTTTATTCCTAGACCCTCTCTTCCCAAAGGGACTCAGGGCGGTTTACATAAAGGCAAGCATTCAATGCCTCAGGTGAATACAAATGTATCAAAATAATACACTATTGTATTGCAACAGTAAGTGAGCTTACGACAAAGGATTGAGCATTGTGATGAAAAATAAAATAAAACAACACACTTTTCAATGGGTCATTTGCTGGTTGTGATTAAAATATTTCCACTCTTGCACACATCGGCACAAGCTGGGCCTCTTGTGGTGATCCTTGTAGTTTGGGGGTCTTTTTAAACCTCTTTTTGCAGCAAAAAGTGGAAAAAAAATAGGTGAAGACGGTAGAAAATCAATACACTTAGTAATCAGCTTGGCAGTGATATTGGAACACAATGACTTGGAAATAATTAATAGTCACCAAGTGGGGCGAGGTGAGATTATTGGTGGGGGAGGAGAAAAAGAATGTCACTCTATTTTAGGACAGCCTTGATAGTCTTGGGCAAACTCCTGGACTCCTTTGCTTAGAAAACAAGGGAACTATACTGTTGATAGTGCATCCTTCCAGTCCCACTCCTCTCTCTCAATTAATAACCTAATAATTAGTAGTTACCAATTGGGACAAAGTGGGATGATTGGGGGGAAGGAAAGAGGGATGGCACCCTATTTTATGACAGCTTTTATAGTCTTGGGCAAACTCCTGAACTCCTTTGCTTAGAAAACAAGGGAAATATACTGTTCATAGTGCATCCTTTCAGTCCCACTCCACTCTCTCAATTAATAATAACCTAATAATTACCAAGTGGGATGAGGTGGGATGATTGTGGGGAGGGGAAGAGGGATGGCACCCTATTTTATGACAGCTTTTATAGTCTTGGGCAAACTCCTGAACTCCTTTGCTTAGAAAACTAGGAAACTGTTGACAGTGCATCCTTTCAGTCCCACTCCTTTCTCTCAATTAATAACCTAATAATTAATAGTTACCAAGTGGGGCAAGGTGGGATGATTGGGGGGAGGGGAAGAGGGATGTCACCCTATTTTATGATGGCTTTTATAATCTTGGGCAAACTCCTGAACTCCTTTGCTTAGAAAACAAACTATACTGTTCCTAGTGCATCCTTTCAGTCCCATTCCTGACTCTCCTATCATAATCGCCTGGTGCCCATAGATGCAGAGTCTCTCTTTCAGGAAGAGGTTCCTCTGCCTGGTTTGCTGCAGTGGGGGCTTTGCTGGGGCTGAGATTCCCTGAAGCCTCCCCTCCCCTCCTCCTCCTCCTCTTCTACTTACCTCCAGCAAAAGCTCTGCCAGTCTCAGCTCTGGCCTCGGTCAGCACCCAGCTCCTTAGCGGTGCTGTGGTGGCTTCCTGGGCTCTCTCTCTCTTTCTCCCTCTCTCTCTCTCTCTCTGTCTCTCAGCGGCGGGCAAAACAAAACTTGGGGCTCTATGGAGTCGAGAAGAAACGAAGGGTGCTTTCAACAAGTCTCCACAAAAACAGGTTTTGGGGAAGAGGTGGGGAAGGCAGGGCGCTCACTGGGGGAGGAGGAGGAGGGGAGTGTGCGGTTGTGTCTCAGGGAATTGGGGGGGGGGAGAGAAAGAGAGAGAGAAAGAGAGAGAGGAGAGAGGGAAAACCTTGGAAAGCACTTGCAAGGAAGGAAGGAAGGGGATGAGGGAATCAGATCTGGTTACAGGCTCTCAGGTGGCCACAGGCACGCAGGCGTTTCTTTCTTTCTTTCTGTCTCTCTGTCTCCATCCACTCCTCCCTCCTTGCGCTCTTGCCGTCTTTCGGGGCAAACCGGGGCAGGGAGCTGGTGTGGGAGGGGAAGAAGTGACACGCGTGGGCTCGGAGATTCCTGACCAGAAGGCGGCCGGGGCTTTGCTGAAGGTACCAAGACAAGGGGAAGAAGGGAGGATGGGGTGAGTGGGGGAAGGGGCGCTCCCTGGTTCTGGGCTGAGAAAGAGGAGGAAAGAGAGGCTTGGTTGGGGGGGGGGGGAAGCAATGGGGTGGGGGGAGGGGGCGAGAAGGGGAAGCGCGCGTGGAGAAGGGGAGAGACTCCGCAGGGAGCCGAGCGCGCGCGCCAACTTTTCCTAACTTGTTCCCGGCTCCAACCCGCCGCGAGGACGGATGGAGTGGGAAATGTCCCGCTGGTGGCACTTGGCGCGCGAGTCCCGGCACCCGGGAGACTCGCGAAGGGAGAAGAAAGTTGGGAGGAAAAGCTCTCCTGGGACTCCCTCCCGCCTCCCTCAGCCACCAGCCGCTCGCTTGGCCTGGAAGGGGAGAAGGGAGTGGGACTGGGGGCGCTTGGTGCGACGGAACAAGGTTGATGTATGGCTTGTGGTTGCGCTTTCCCCGCAGGCGGAGTGGCCTTGCCGAGTTTCCACGCCTGACTCTCCCTCCCTCCTTCTCCGCGCGTTTACTTTCAATCAGGGGCTCGGTGGCCGTCTGTCGGGAGGGTTTTGGATGTGTGTTCCTGCCTGGCAAGGAAAGGGTAGGGCAGAATGACCCTTGGGGTCTCCTCTTCCAACTCCAGGGAGGGAGGGAGGAAAGGAGCGAGGGGGGCCTCCGCGCGTGGGACCGCCGCTCTCGGTTGGGTCACCCGCGCGCCCTTTGCCTTTGCGCGACTTGAGGCCAAGTGGCCAAGGGGTAAAGAGCGGGTCTTTCAAAAAAGTGGAATCACGAGTGTTGTGTGCATCCTTGGAGCGTGCAAACTCTCTCCAGGAAAGTCCGCTTTAAGGGTGGAGATTCCACGCGCGAGGGGAGTGCAGAGAAGAGAAGAGAAGGAGGGAGAAGAGGGGAAAGAAGGAGAGGAGGATGAGGGAAAAAGAGAAAGAGGGGGGAGAAGAAAGAGAAGAGAAAGAAAAGGAGTAAGAAGTAGAGGAGGAGGAAGAGAGAGGGGGATGAAGAGAAAGAGGAGGGAGAAGACGACGGGAAAGAAAAGAGGAGGAGGGAGTAAAAAGAGGGAGAAGACGAAGAAAGAGAAAGAAGTAGAGGAGAGAGAAGAAGAGGAAGGAGTCAGAAAGAAGGAAGAGGAGGGAGAGGAAGACGGAGAAGAAAGAGAAGAGGAAGGAGAAAGAAGTAGAGAAGGAGGAAGAGAGAAAGGGGGGTGAAGCGAAAGAGGAGGGAGAAGAAGACCGAGAAGAAAGAGAAAGAAGTAGAGGACAGAGAAGAAGAGGAAGGAGTAAGAAAGAAGAGGAGGGAGAAGAACACGGGGAAGAAAGGAGGAAGAAGAGGAGAAAGAAGTAGAGAAGGAGGAAGAGAGAAAGGGGGTGCAAGCGAAAGAGGAGAAGACGGAGAAGAAAGAAGAGGTGGAGGGAGAAAAAAAGAGGGAGAAGACTGAGAAGAAGAGGAGAAAGTAGTAGAGGAGGAAGAAGAGGGAGAAGAAAAGAAAGAAGTAGAGGAGGGAGAAGAAGACGGAAAAGAAAGAGAAGAGGAGAAAGAAGTAGAGGAGGTGGGAGAAGAAAAGAGAGAGAAAGAGAGGAAGTAATAGGAGCAACCTTGAATGCTGGCCGGTCTATTGGGCGACTTAGCGGTGGGAGAAAGTGAGGGGCCAGCCCGGCGAGTTCAAGCCTATAGACCATGCGAAGGGGTGTGTGTGTGTATTGGTGCTCCTCTGCCTCCCCCAAAGGCCTCTCTCTCCACAGATGCACACGCGAGGGAAGCCGGGCAAAAGTTTCTCCAAGCGGCGCCCAAAGTTCTCCTTCGGGCCCGCTTCCTCTCTCTCCCCCCCCCTCGGGGCCGAGCCCTCCTCCCTTCCTCTCTCTCCCAGAGAGACACCTATGGGGTAGAGCTATAGATATGCCCAACACACACCCTGGAGGAGGGTCCCCAAAGTGCGGGCTGCTTCCAACTTGCGGCGGTCATGTGTTTGGGAGGAAGAGGAGGGAGAGGGGCTGAACTCTTACCATCCCTCTCAGCCTCTCAGGCCCCTTCCTTTCCCCCCTCAGCCGCTTAAAGGAAGGGGATGGTGGGAGTTGGACCCCCAAGTCCCGTGGCGTGAGGGCCCAAGTTGGCCCGTGCCGGGTCTCCACTGTGGCACGTGGGGCGAGGGGCCTGGGCGTGGGGGAGGGCTCTGAGGGAGAGACAAACAAACAGAAAGCAAAGGAGGAAGAGTTGCGAGCGAAGGCGGCGCAAGGATGGCAAACTCACCCGCTTGGAAGCGCGGCCCTGGCGGTGCCAGCTAAGGGGCTCTCTCTCTCTCTCTTATTCCCCCCACTGCGGGTGGGTGCCTCTGCCTGCCCCTCGCCTTTGCCTCTCCCTCCTTCCTCAATCCCTCTCTCTCTCTCTCTCTCCTCCTTCGCTAGCCAGCCAGCCCCATGCAGGAGGCACAGCGTGCGGCCCCGCCACACAATAAACAACAATAGAGCCCTCCGCCTGGAGTCGGGAACTAGCTTCCCAAAAGGGGGAAGAGAGAGAGGAGGCAGAGCAGGCGAAGCTCATCCAGAAGCAGAAGCAAAGCCAGGGAAGGAGGAAGCCCAGTGAAAAGCCCTCCCTCGCCAACTCTTGCCTCCCCCCCCCCACCCGCTTCGTGTTGTCTTCCTATCAAAGTCTGCTCCCCACTTTGGAGTTTGGCTCTTTTGGGAAGGAAAAGGGGGGGGGGAGAGGAAGCCGGGCTTGTGTTTGGGTTTCTTCGCCCTTCTTTTCCCTCCCCCGCCTCTCCGCTCGGAAGAAAAATAACACCCCGCGGAGGGAGATTTTGTTATTTTTTGCTGTTGTGAGTCCCTGACGTCACATCCACCTGCTGGGTAAACAAGGCTCAGTGCAAAAAAAAAAAAGAGAGAGGAGAGAGAGAGAGAAAGATTGCAGTTGGGGGGGGGAAGAGAGAAAGAGGGGAAAAGGAGGAGAAGGAAAGGACACAAACGGAGAAGGAAAAGAAATGGGAGGAAGGGAAAGGGAACGAGAGGTTCCTGAAGAACTCAGAGAGAGAAGAAGGGAGGGAGAGGGGAAAGAGAAAGAGATTGCAGTTGGGGAAAAGGAGAGAGAGGAAAAGGAGGCAGATTGGAAGAGAAGGAAAGGACACATATGGAGAAGGAAAAGAAATAAATGGGAGGAGGGAAAGGGAATGAGGGGTGCCTGAAGAGCTCAAAGAGAGAAGGGAAAAAGATAGAGGGAAAGGAGGCCGATTGGAGAGAAGGGGGGGGGACAAATTGGAGAAGGAAAAGAAGAAATGAGAGGAAAACTAGGAAGGCAAAGGGAACGAGAGGTGCCTGAAGAGCTCAAAGAAGGGGAAGGAGGTAGATTGGAGAGAAGGGAGAAAAAGAAGATATGAGAAACGAGAGAAGGAGCAAAAGGAGAGGTGCCTGAAGAGCTCCAAGAGAGAAGAAGAGGGAGAGGGAAAAAAGAAAAGAGACTGCAGTTGGAAAGAGAGAGGCAAAGGAGGCAGATTGGAGAGAAGGGAGGGCACACATTGGAGAAGGAAAAGAAGAAATGAGAAACGAGAGGAGGAAGGATAAGCGAAAGGAGAGGCGTCTGAAGAGCTCCAAGAGAGAAAGAGGAGAAAGGGGAAAGAGATTGCAGTTGGGGGAAAGAGAGAAGGAAAGGAGGCAGATTGAAGAGAAGAAATGGACACAAACGGGGAAGGAAGAGAAATGGAAAGAGGAAGACTAGGAAGAGGAAGGGAAAGGGAAGGAGAGGTGCCTGAAGAGCTCCAAGAGAGAAGAAGAAGGGGGATAGAAGGGAAAGAGAAAAGAGACCGCAGTTGGTGAAAAGAGAGGGCAAGGAGGCAGATTGAAAAGAAGGGAGGGCACAAATTGGAGAAGGAAAAGAATAAGAAACGAGAGGAGGAGGAAGGATAAGCGAAAGGAGAGGCGCCTGAAGAGCTCTGGGCTCGATTGGGGATTTCTCTCCTCTTTCCTAAACAGAACCCTAATAAAAGAAAGGAGTTGGGAGTGAGAGGGCGAGCCTTGAGAAACGAGGGGGAGAAGAAAGGCAAAGAGGTGCCTGAAGAGCTCCCAGCTCTGGGCTCGCTTGGGGCTTTCTCTCCTTTCCTAAACAGAATCCTAATAAAAGAAAAGAGTTGGGAGTGAGAGGGCGAGCCTGCCTTGTTTCTTTCCCAAGTGCGAGTGTTGTTTTAGAAGCCCCAGTGCCGGCTTCTTCCTCTCTCTCTCTCTCTCTCTCCTTTCTCTCTCTCTTTCCCCCCTCGCCTCCTTTTTGCACTTTGCCCAATGAAAGGCGCCGAGTTCGAGAGGTGAAAGTTCAGCAGGAGGACAAACCCCCGCCGCCTCGCAAGGCAGAAGCCAAGCAGGCATGGCCAGCCTTTGCAGAGAGAGAGAAATAGAAACAGGGGAGCAAGAAGAAGGCGAAGGGCGCGCGCACTCCAGGGCCCTCTGGCGCGCGCACTGGACCCTCAGCGCTCTTTAGAAACGGGAGCAAGAAGGAGGAGAAGGGCGCGCGCTCTGGGCCCTGCTTCAGGGCTCTTTGGAAGGGGAAATAAAAGAGGAAGAAAACTCCTCGTTGGGGACTTTGGGAAATTCAAGTCCCCTTTTTGCCTTCATTCCAAAGCGAGGCGCAAAGTTGGGCCAGCCTGCCAAGGAAAGGGTTGTGTTTCCATGCAAAGTGGCCTGCCTTTCCGGGAAGTACAAGGTAGCGCTTGGATTAAGCGTGGCAACAATTGCCCAGGGCAATCCACAGAACTTTGCTGCCACGTTTAACCCAAGCGCCACCTTTTTTCTTTCTTCCCCGAAAGGCTGGCCACTCACGGCAGGTTGTTTTGTGTGTGGAAACAAAACGTTTCGCCTTCCAGGAACCTTTGTATCACACTTGGGCCTTTCTTAAAGAGATTATATACAACTATCATCAGCCCTTCCCACCTCGAGGCCGTTTCTTCGCCTCCATCCACACATTTTCTGCGACTCCAGAGGACAAAAAGACAACTTAAAATCCGGTTTCTACCTCCTGCAGAACTCTGGGGTTTGTAGTTTAGTTTAGTGAGGCTGTTAAAGGCTCCTCCAATTTTTCAAGGAGCCTCCTGACCTGCCCTTTAATAAAAGTGACACGCGGTCTCTCCGCCCCAAAGTGCTGCAAAGCCATTTCCCTTTCAATAATGTATTGTCGAAGGCTTTCATGGCCTGAATCACTGGGTTGCTGTGAGTTTTCCGGGCTCTGTATCCATGTTCCAGAAGCATTCTCTCCTGACGTTTCACCTGCATCTATGGCAGACATCCTCAAAGGTTGTGGGGTCTGTTGAGACTAGGAAAATTGTGTTTATATTTCTGTTCTCCCACCCTGGACATTCCACAGATATATAACCTAATTTTCTTAGTTTCCAACAGACTTCACAACCACCGAGGATGCCTGGCATACAGGCAGGTGAAACGTCAAGAGAGAATGCTTCTGGATCATGGCCACACAGCCCGGAAAATCACAGCAACCCATTTTTCTTTCTGTTCGAAGTCCAACTAGGGTAGGAAAGGGTTACTTTTACCTGCCTTTTCACTGGCTGTGAATTCTATCCCCAGCTCCTTCTGACTCTCCAAGCTGTGGCCCAACCACTAAACAATACCCTCTTCTTTGTAATGCATAATCAAACCCACTTATTCACTCATTTTATACTATTTATAAATACGGAGTTCTAATAAAACGTTGTTCATAGCCTGGACAATATGTTCTTGCACATTGTTGGAGGGCTTGCTCTCTCTCTCTCTCTCTCTCTCTCTCTCTCTCTATATATATATATATATATATTCATAGGAGTTTTAACCACTGACAGCTAGGAGGAACTATTTATTAATTAAGGGGAAATACTGGTTCCAGGATTTCCTCCAGAAAATTCTCAAGGCTTTTGCTAAAAGATAATAATAATAATAATAATAATAATAATAATAATAATAATAATATCTCATGCTTGCGGAAAACAAAGAAAGTATGGATCATCAATGTTGCAATCCCAGGCAACAGCAGGATTGACAAGAAGCAACTGGCAAAGCTGACATCATACGATGATTTAAAGATAGAACTGCAAAGACTGGCACAAGCCAGTCAAGGTGGTCCCAGTGGTGATCGGCACACTGGTTGCAGTGCCTAAAGACCTTGGCCTGCACTTAAAAGCAATCAGTGCTAACAAAATTACCACCTGTCAGCTGCAAAAGACCACCCTACTCAGATCTGCATGCATTATTTGCTGATACATCACATAGTCCTGGATACTTGGGAAGTGTCTGACGAGTGATCAAATACAACAGCCAGCATAATGATCTTGTTTGCTGTAAACTAATCTTGTTATTTATCAAATAATAGTAATAATAATCTTTATTTCTATCCCACCCAAATAAAGATTATTATTGTTATTATTATTATACAAATAAAGGTTGTTGTTGTTGTTGTTGTTGTTATTATTTGTATCTCCCCGAAGGGACTCGGGGTGGCTTACAACAATAAACAAATACAATAAATTGTATACCACAGAAAATAATCACATACCACTTAATTTAACAAGCACACAATAATATAAACATTAGTAAAACAAATCTAAAAGCTTTTTGCCCCATCCACTCACTTTGCCCATATCAACTTTTTTTGCGAAGTGTGGTTATATATAACACTATGATTGTATGTCTTCTTGTCCTGTTTTTTTAAAAGCCCCCCTTGGAGTTATATAAATATTTGTGGCAATCATTGTTACATCATATTGTAAGGCAAATTAATTTTAAAGCACATCTTTTAAAAATGCTTCAATGTCTCCCATTTAAATTAAATGTGCTTAATGTTGAATGGCTCAAACTCCCGGAATAAAGATGATAATCTGACACTGCAGACACATAAGAGTCTGGATTCAAATGCGGATTCAGATCCTCCACTTATGACAGCTGTGTAACCCTGAAGAAACAGTCTGCTTTTCTTAGTCTCAGCCTTATAAAGGCCTGCGTCTGCACTGCTGCACAGCCAACATATAATTTAAAATAACGCAAGGCACCTTTTTTGAATTTGAATGTTATACCATTGCTGATGTCCTTCAGTCTCATCTAACATCAGAAAAAACAGGTCAGTCATATGAGTGAATAAAGGCTGAATATATTTAAGAATGAATGGAAGAATTCAGATTACACCTTTTATAAAGTATCTAGTGTACTTTTAGATTCAGTATAAATAACAGTCCATACTCCAGGAAAAAATGCCCGACTGCTCACTAGAGGGAAGAATATTAGAGGCAAAGATGAACTACTTTGGCCATATAATGAGAAGGCAGGAAAGCTTGGAGAAGATAATGATGACGGGGGAAATGGAAGGAAAAAGGAAGAGGGGCCAACCAAGGGCAAGATGGATGGATGGTGTCCTTGAAGTGACTGGCTTGACCTTGAAGGAGCTGGGGGTGGCCACGGCAGACTGGGACCTCTGGTGTGGCCTGGTCCATGAGGTCATGAAAGGTTTGAAGTGACTGAACAAATAAACAACAAAATAAATAACAGTGTTAATATTGTGAATAGTGGTTTTAATGTTTCATA